GGGGGGGGGGGGGGGGGGGAGGGGGGGGATGCAACGCAACGACCGCGGGTTGTAAGGGTTGTTTGTTGTCCCGTCTGTTCTTTAGACGTGCGTCTGCACACCTGCTTTGATTTCGGTTTGAGGAAATGTATGTTTGATGTGTGCATATCAGCCGGGTTAGTGGACGGGTGATTGGTACTTAGAGGAAAAAATTGTTCGATGTATGCATGCACATGTTGGGGATTGGTTGCAAGCTTAGGTTTGGCTCCGCGAGACGGACAAACAAATCGTGCATTTTACATAGGTGTAGACAACAAGTCTTTTTTTTGTTTTCCCCCACACACTGAAAACACTCAACACATCCCCTTTCGACTGAAGTGGGATTATCTCAATCGGGCTCTTTACAGCAGTAAAGTCTTTCGTCTTTCTTGCTACACTGCGGTATTCCTTTTGCAGAAGCACTGCTGTGTACGTCGGCTTCCCCGGCCCTCTTTCTACGTACATGCGGGCGGAGGGTTGTTGTTGTTATTGTTGCTGTCTTCACATTAAACTCGTGTCAGTTGCTAAATTAATTCCAAAATCTAGCAAAGACGCGGTCCGTGGTCACAAACATTCTAGAGACATCAGAAGATCCAAAGAACACGCAAACTAGCAAGAAAAGGGTACACAAGCCCGAAGAGGTACACCTACATCCCTGCAGCACGTTTGCGTGCCCAAAAACTGAACTACCCGTCCACACACTGCATGCGACTACAGCAGCATCACCCCCCCTGTCCTACACTTTACCAAAATGAATGTCGACTACAGCGTACAGCTGTCTGGAGTGCTGCCTGTACAGTAACACCATGGTAGGCATGGTACAAGTTTGGGGCGCGCAACTGCTGTCTGAAGTGCTGTCAGAATGCGTCCGTGGACATACAACAGTGAAAAAGAACAACCAACCAAGGCCATCATTGCAATTGACAATCACCGAATCTACGCCTGATCATCTGTGTTGACACAGCAGTGTAAATAATCGACACAGATTAGGAATCGTTCCATATTGAAGGGGTCTTCCACGATGCAGGTACACAATAAAGGCACCCGGGCTATCCGCGCCATGTCTGCCGGTGGGGGGGGGTGTACGTTTTCGAACGTGGACGTTCGGGGGCCGGCGGAACATTCTGCGAGCCGTCGCGACGGATACTCGCTTCGCAGGGAACGCGTCAACGACGTCCAACAGTTTGATGTGTGTAGCCGGCCGTGCACCGCGGTTGCTAGAGTTGTCCGCTTGTCGCAGACAAACCGCAACGCTGGTCCATTTCACAACAGCATCGCTCTCTGCAGACGGGAACTCGTCGTGCTCAAGACTAAAGCTAGGTTCGCGCTTGACAACAGCAGTACAAAGAGCAGCTTGTAGGATACCACCACTGCGGCAGTGCTTGAAGTCTAATGCTGAAAGACAACAAATACACTACTGCTGTAGGCAGCAGTGCTGAAGAAAATAACACTGCTGGTGCGGCAGAAAAATGTACCGGTCACAACGTGCTTGTGACGTTTGAACAACAGCAGCAGTGCGGTTCGCTCTCAAGTCGCCACAAGGAAATGCGAGACCTGCTCAGATAACCGCTGTGCGTGTATGGCGAGTCGGGAGAGTGGTGTGACTCCGACTGGCATGTGCTCTAGCTGTGCACCAGCAGAAACATAACTACCCCGCCGCCTCCGTCTGCAAAGAAAGCAATCTCGGCCACTTCGCCGGCTGTGCCACATACGCTGCTTTTTTCCTCTTGAAGGCGGGCGCGTGTCTTTCTCAAGAACCAACAGTACCCCCGCATACAGATTCAGCAGCCGCTGCTGCTCCCCCGCCAGCGAACTCTTACTCTCTAGACACAACCCACAGCACGGCACCAAGCATACACCTCTTCTAGTCCACCCCTGGGAGGATGGTTGTGATGCTCCCGTGGTTGACAGGTCGTTCGTCATATACAGGCTGCAGCAGCACTTTCGGCAGGCACTCTTTCTCATGCCGCACATAATAGAGCTTGTCGACTTCAAAGCGGCAGCTCTCTCTCAGTACAACCCTTCATGCAACACGTAATGCCGCGTACACGCCAATAACGCCCCCCCATTGTCACGGAAGGCGGAAATGGGAGTAACCAATCATCACGGCCCACCGCCCCTCCTCGTACGCAGCAGGACCGACGCCGTCCCCGAGCCAACTAACTCTCTCAGCCACTAAAACACGTGCACACACACACGCGTGAGGCCTTTTCTCACCTGCTGAGGATCGATGCGCTTGGACCCGGTGTTGTTGTTATTGTTGTTTCTACGGAACCGAGGCATGAGTGCTGGCGGGGGGGTGCTGGTTCTTTGATCTTTGACCCAAGCGCCGGCCTGCGCTCGGCCGCTTGCTTGTACAGCGCGAGGAAATTTCGGAAATTTCCGAGCGACTTCCGCCCCAAATCCTTGGGCTGTCCCCAAAAATCTCGCCAGGATCCGCTCTGCGGGCCCGGTAAATGACGGTCAGTCGGGTTTTCATCGGTTATCGTGTTTCCTGTTCTACGTCCCGTCGTGTTTGGAGATTGGCCTCCGATCTGCGCGTAGCGCAGAACCATCAGCAAATGCAGCGCTGCAGCAGCAGTAGTGCGGAAGTCGTTTCGAGGCCGTCAGATTTAGAAACAAGAAATTCCTGTGCGTACAAATTGTAATTGTTCTTTGGATCTTCTGATGGCTCTAGCATTTTTGTGACCACGGACCGCGCCTTAGCTAGATTTTGGGATTAGCAACTGACATGACAACAGCAACAACAACAACAACAACAAAATTATAATTCGCCGTCTGTCTTCGTTGGTCTGCACATCATTTATTGTGCACCGCACGTTTTCATCAGTTGTTGCTCGCGGTACATGCAAGACGGATGCGTATGTATCGGGGTAATGGTGCAATATTCGGAGTTCCTCGGCGGAGACCGATCTGTGAAGTCCCGACAAACCCTCGGTTGTGTATCCGTTGCGACACCTCTATTATTGCCTATTGTTGTCATGCTTGACAATACTGTATTCTCCAAGTAACTCTGCGGCGGCGGTAAGTTGATCTACAGTCGTGAGTCTAATCTCGATTTCTTCGTCTCTGTACCCATCCATCTCCAGATGACAATTTATTGACGGATAGACCTATGCTATATAGGAAGCTCTTGTTTGGGCCGAGGCTGTTCATTATTCCTAAAAATTTAGGCTACAATATACCGAGCTCAAGTTTTCTAAGTCTTGATATGGCGTTGAGCACTGTCAAGTTCACAAGTGCGGGCGCTATAACCACTGCTGCTGTCTTTAGTTTGATTGAACCTTAAGTCTAACATTCACATCTAATATTTGGTTTTCTCCTCCTTGTCGGTTATTATTCCCCTTCGTCTACAAGTAAGAACCGGTCCCCATGACAGTCTACCCCAGCTATAGTCTTGCCAAGTATCGAACAACCTCAAGAGCTTGCCCGATGCGCGGTCGAGCACAAGTCGCACACAAACCTACCTCCCCAACGGCGCACCACACCTGCCTGCCTTCGTTTGATTTCGCGAGAAGACGTATGCATATGCATATCATTCAACGATTCCTTCTCAAAGTCATGATGGAACGAACACTGTTCTACTGGTACAGCACAGCAGCACAGAGCACAGCAGCTGCAGCAGCTGCAGGGGAGGGATTGACAACCCCTGGAGTGGAAATTCACTGTACGGGCTTCGACCTGTGGCCGCTAGGAGGCCTAGAGAGTGTCGACAACGCCACCAGCGACCGACTGCTTCGCGTTTGTTTTCTGTCAACGGGTGATTCATGAGAGAGATTATAGGGCGACATCACGCATTCGGCACAAAATGAGCCTCGGTGTGGTGTGCTTTCTAAAGCATGTACCCGAGTCAGCTTCCGGCAACGTTATCATGGGGTGTGCTGCGGTACAACTTGGCATTCATCATCGCCAGACCAACCGCAAAGAACGCGGCAGTCCACATGACTACGGCAACGATTCCTTTCTACATATTGGCACGCAACCCATGCAAGCACAAGATGCCCACGAATGTCCCAACATAGACACGCGAAACGCGTACGCGTATGCAGAGCAGTCTTTTATCCCTACGGCTGGCTGGCTTCCCGTCGGGTTGGAGGGCTGTGCTCGCGCACCTTGACAAAACAACAAACGGTCGATTAAGCTGGTGGAGGCAGCAGTGGCTTCTATACCCCACGCGACTCTATCTTCAGCAGAACTTTCCTGAAACACACGGGTCATTGAGGGGGGCCGAAACGGGGGCGCACAAAGCATTAGCAACCCACTCCTATAACTACGCGCTTCTACGGGCGCTAAAATTTTAGCGCCTGTTTACCACGTGGGTAAAGACGGAGAAACGATGGCCGTGCCGGCTGCCGAAATTCTACGCTTGCGCCAGCGGAACGCCCGACCAAAAAAACGTCGCACCCTTTGCCTTTTGTGTACCACGTGCCGCACACCGCACACACACACAGTCTACGTCCGATCGCCGACGTTAAGCTTTTTCCGTCGCGCTTCCTCCTGTGCCAGCTCTACCGCTTGGGGTTTCTCGCTGTCGAAGAGCCCGTGTCCCGGCTTAGGCCGATTCGGCCGGAGAACGGGGATCGCGCAGATGGCGCAGATCGTTGTGACGCCCACGAACACCTTTCAGTCGAAACCAACGGCGGTGGAGGCGAAAAGATGCGGTCGTCTGTAAGCGAGAACACCTGTCCGTCAGTCTCCCTGGGAACGTCATTCTGCTGGAAAAAGGCTATATCTACGACGTCCACGGTGTGGGTGGACCCGTAGAGTGTGCTGCAGCAGGCGTTTTTGCGGAATGTGTGAGTAGCTGCTGCTGCTGCTGCTGCTGCTGCAATGAGTTGCATGGGAAGTAATCGATAAGAGAGCACAGTACGTTTTTGGAGTATGAAGGATAATGGGTTGCGATCGTCAAATGAAGATCCGTTTCCGACCCCAGATATTCTCCTCTCCTCATGTACCTCGAAACATGGCTGCTGTAATCTACCGAACGGCCTTGATGGTACTGCGGGAAGGATTGGAAAAATCGTAGGGTGTTTAACCGCTCTCAAGCGGCATCCATGGACTTGGGGGGGTCTGGACAAACTGACATCAAATAGCTTAGGGAGCATCTCCTGTCCATCGGAACCTCGGGTGAACAGTCGAGGATGATTGGGAAACCAGAATCTTCCGCGCGCTATGTATTTTTTCACGTATGGCTCTGCCAATGACAGAGACACGGGTGCGGGGGTCACTGACGGCAATAGGGAGCACTACAAAAAACTTGAAGACACTAGAGGACGACACGTCGTCGCAGGTTTCTGTCTGACTTCAAGAATTACTTGCGCCAACATTCTGGGAGATTTAAGTGGATTATTTCTTGCCTGTTAATCCCTAGACAAGTATCCAGGGCATTGGGGTACTGAGGGTCGCCTTCAACCGGTCAAAAGAGTCAGTCCTCGTATGTTACGGTAGCACCAGAGGTACCGCCCCGAGAATGCAGTATCGTAAAAGTGAGGTTGGTGGTGTGCTCCCCGTGAAAATTGACATCGTTTTAGGACATGCAACTAGTCTGCATTACCCTCGTGCACAAAACCAACGACTTCCCAGGTAACAAAACGACGCTGCGGGCATCTGGAAGTGATACATAGCGTGCGTCTCTACAGCGTTGTATTTGTAGAGAGGACTACACAGAGTGCCTCCCATGCGAGGTTGCTTACCTTTTGCTGCTCGGTGAGAGGAAGCCCGGCCAGCGCCCTGTAGAGCCTGGTTGCCACCATCGTGAACGGGTTACGCAATAAAGGGTTTGGTCACGCTCTAGGGCAGATGGCTCTCTCTCTGACGCACAGCAACCCCACGGTGGCGTGGTGGTGTTCTACGGAGATTCTCGGGGACCGTTTACGTGGGTACGTATGCTTTCTTGCCCGCGGACCCCCCTCCCACCCACCTCACCTTGCCCACCTGCGCGTTTGCTCCGTCTTTGGTCGCGGGGAGTGCACGCTGTATAGCTCCCGTGAATCGACCAAGATGCCCGGTGCGAGGGATATGCGTGACTCTATCGATGGTGAGGAAGCCCGCGACTGCACCCGCACGCGAACACAATTGGAACTCAAAACTCATCCGAATTTTGCATTTTTCAAATTTCAAACAGTACAACAGCAGTACCCTCGGACGCGGTGTAATTACGTTAGTCGGTGCAGTTGATGTGCAGGACACTCTTGCTGCACTGCTCGGTGGAGTGGACAGGCCTGCCTTGATGTATCCGAACTCAAGTGGGTAGATGTAAAGCTCAAGGTTGCGAGGCTGTTGTTTTTATGTTCCGAAACACGTGCACGCCAGCCTTACGTCTGGCGCACAACGGCAATCGGCGAGTCACCGAGGTGTAGTCAAACTCTTGACCAGCCATGGTTCAAGATCCTCCGTTCAGATCGAGAGAATGCGCAGTGTTAGTAAAACCATGCATGTGCAAAATGCCATGAATGCGCGACTCTTCTCCTCTGGGTATTGTACAGCAGTAGTAGTTTGCCGAACAGACCGACCCTTGTGACAAGACCTCCCCAATCAACCCGTAGCCTTCGCTATCATAAACTAATTAATCTCGCGGAGGCGGTCCCTGAAAACAGGACACCACTGATGTTATGGGACTTGAATGTATGGAGTAATCCGCAGTACAGAACGGGCCCGGAGGTAAGAAAAGTGAAATTCGGGTCCGAGGCTCAGTTCTTATTTCATCGCCACTGTTGAGCACAGCGGGGTGTATAGAAGTTAGTCCAGGATCTAGCTGAGCTGTGTCTCTAACCCTGTTTTCTTCTCTTTCGTGAAATTTTGAGCCTCTGTTTCTTGCCGAAATATTTCGTAACTGTGGGCCGTACGTTCTGCTGTATTGCGGGCTAATATCCCCAGAAGCAAGTAAGTGCGCGAGAAAGAAGCTGCTGTAACTCCCGATTGAAGGATGAAGCAGGGGACAGGGCCTTTTCAGCCCCAGTTAGAAGGAGCTGGCCTACCCCCACCTGCTCAGTCTTCCAAAAGGAGCAAGACAACAGCTGCTGCCCATACGAGAGGAATCAAGTTATAAGCGAGTCTTGACCAGGGGCTTGAGGGATTGCTATGATACACGTGCCAACCCCTTCGCACCGCTTTTGCTTCCTACCCCTTGGTTGCGATGTCCCAGCACCGAAACATACCATCACTGCTGTAGTTGACAACTCCCAACACTGATTGATTGCTGACTAGCCCGGGCGTCTTGGTCTCACAACGCGTGCGCTTCGTGTTGGTGCTTCGACAACAACCAACAGTATTGCACGAGATTTCCACGATCCTCGACACCGGCCTGGACCGCAAGACTCTGAGCCTGCTCCTCGAGCTGATTGAGAGCGGTGTCAACCCGGAGGCCTTGGCCGCCGTCGTGAAGGAGCTCAGAAGAGAGGCTGCCACGCTGAGCAGGCAGCGATAACAACAATGCCCGTTTGTTGTTCTTGTTGTTGAAGGAGGAAGAGAGAGGCTGTCACGCTGAACAGGCATCGATAACAACAATGCCCATTTGTTGTTCTTGTTGTTGCGAGAGAGGGCGTGCAACAGCAGTAGTTGCGAAGAGTTTCGTGTGGACGTATAGGGGCGGGAAGCAACGTGAAACGCATGTGCTTTACAGCTCGCAATGTATTACCAATACCCTGGGGATGAGATTGCTCTCGCGTTTACAGCGATAACAGGGATAGAAGGTGTGGTACTAATCGTTGCGGAGATATTCAGGCGGCGGGTGTGCTTTTTTAGCTCGAAAAGTATTACCAATACCCTGAGGAATGAGACGTGTTTCGCGAATTAACCGTCAATGCATGGGCCATGCTCTTGGGTGGCGTGCGATGGACATGGCGTACGTGCGGTTGTCGTGCCGGCGTGGTTGCATGTTTCCTTCGACACAGCATTAATGCGTGCACGTCAAACGTGATGAGGGTTTGGAGACGAGACCTGCACAGGCTATTGTAGGGTTCCTCCAATGGTGGATTGATTCTGGTGGCACCGAAATGTGGGTTAGGAGTCTCGTGTTCTGTGAGCGGGGCGATGCCTACTACTTGGTCGGCATTGATGGACGCGTTGCCTGTTTTGGTGCTTTTTGTGCCGGGCAGTCCTTGGTTAGTCCAAGCCGCCATTCGTGTGTTCGGCTTTGGCTTCGTCCGTCGTATCGCCTGCGGCATCTATAACCTCCGGCTGTCATCCACATTTCTGTCGTATCATGTTCTCGTTTTTTTTTTATTTGTCCTCTGGGTTGTTCTTGTTGATTGAGTGTATCGTAGTGTGTTGGTGCCCTTGTTAGCTAGGGGTTAGGTTAGCCTGTGACCACGCGAGGCGTCGATGTCATTCGCACCAGTACGGATGGCAGAAGGTGCTAACCAGAGACCAGAACGGTTTTTAATGTCAAGACATCCAACAGCAACAACACAACAAGGTTAGATTCATTTCTTTACGGTTTCGGGAGTTGTCCGGCGGTCAGGTCGACTCTCATTTTTCAGTGTTGAGCATTTTTTTGGGCGGGGAACTCTTCACCTGTCTTGTTTCGATCGTGATCATGTTCGGGTGACGGCCGGTTTCCTCTTGGGTGGGTTACCCCATCACGACTTCTAGGGGTAAGCCAATCCAAAATTGTGCGCTTCTTCTTGCGACAAAGGAAACAGAGTGCGGCCGCTCTTTGATTGAATACGTTCTCCACAAAGGCGACTCAACTTGACTGGTGGGCGTACGGGATGGATAGGTGTATGAACGCACCGTCATCAGTGCTGGAATGTTCACAACTCTTTTAGCTAGTGATGGGGGAAAGTACATGGTTAACTACCGCAAACGTTCGTGTGGCCGCATATTGTCCCCTTGCTACCAAAGCTCGGTTGCTCTGCACAACCAACGGGGCACGGAAAACGACCGATACGCACAGCAAACATCTCAACGAGCTCTTGTCCAAGCCAACCCTTGTAGGCACTAGCAAGCCTGTTCCTCTTGGTTGGGGAGCAGCGAATCAGCCGGCTGGCTCCTGGGAGAGGTTATCCAGGAGAGAAACAAGGGCACGAGCGAATAGTGTTCTCTGGTACGGGCGAATAGTGCAATCTGGTACGGGCGAACGGTGCTCTCTGCTGCGGGCGAGGAGTACTCTCTGCCGTCGGCAAGCAGTACTCTCTGCTGTCGGCAAGCAGTACCCTCTGCAACGAGTGCGCATCATATGCACCCGGTAATCCTGTGCTTAGGGCTGTCAATTAGGGTTGTAAACCCATGCTTAGGGGTAAGGGCAAGGGTTCGACATGTTCCCAGAGACGCCGCCCAATTTTTCATCCGCTCGAGGTCTCACGCGTACTGATTAAACAGGATTGATTACAATTGCTCCGTCTTCTTTATCCTCACAACCGTACAACGTGCTCCGAAGAAACGGGGGGGCAACTGTGGAAGCCACCGACGCAGCCTCCCCCTCCCCCGCCCTTTCTACCCAAATCACAACCTCTGCCGCAAAATCCCCTCTGCTCCCCTCCTGTCACAAACCGCCGGTTCAAGCCATGGAAAGCGAAGTGCCTTCCGCGAAGTGATGGAGCACGGAAGTACCTTCTATTTTGACTTCCTACAATGACTGCTACTGTCGTCTCACGTATCGCGCGTGTATGCATACAAAACCAACGGAGAAATAACACTAAAAACAGACAACCGATACGTAAAAACGACGCGCCTACGCAGTCGCAGAGAAATCAAATACCTCTTGCCGCTTGGCCATCTTGCACAAAGACTGGTGCGTCGCACGTTCTAATTGTGCCTCTGGCGCAAATTTGGAAACGCGTACTACTACGCCCTACAATATCAGTCCCCACGATATACTTACTTGTCAAAAATTTCTGCGCTTGTGGGCTCTAAGCACCAAGCTGCGTGAACCCAAACCTAGCCCCGCCCGCCGCCTCCGGCTGGCTGCCAGTTACAGGAGACTAGTTGTATTGGACGCTACTCTCTTCGTATTCTCGTCGTCAAATCTGGATGTCCGGGCTGAAGACAAGGTTCGGGGGTTCAGCGGAAGGACCCCCCCCCCCCCCTTCCAACTTGCCATCGAGACCGAGCTTCAGACCATGGGTAGAAAACAAATTGCACAATAGTCTCGTAACAAAACCTACAGAATGCTACTCGACGCGGTACATTCCGCAAACCTACCCTACCGAAGGCGCGTATTTTGCGGGAAAAACCGTGGAAGATGCACATGGGTCGTCGCCTACTGGCTTTGTGCAGAGCATGACCCAGACACTACTAGTCAGCCTAGCAGCAAAAAACATCCACAATAATGGTGCTGCTGCTGCTGCTGCATCTGCTGCTGCTTTCCCTCTACGCTGCAACTGCTTCTTTGTCGGACACGCTCTGCTGCCCGTCCAAGGCACCGCTCTTGAGCATCTCCTCGATCCGCTCCGCCTCTTCGTACCTGTCGAGCAAGGACACAAAGCAAAACAAAAAAAAAATGTTTTACAAGTGCACTGTACAGGCTTGAATAGACTCAAAAAGAGCCCAGTACCTAGCCGGTGTTTTTTCCCGTCCCCCTCGACCGTGGTATTTTCCCGAACGGGTATGCATAGTATTTCCGTGATTGGATATATATTTTCTCAAAAGATGGCACACAGGTATATATTACACGTGTCTTCGTAGACGTACCAGGAACAACAGAGCAAAACGCGGGCGCAACAGGGGGTGTGCATTGCTTGACCGTCATAAGAGCAAAGAGCAATAACAAAAAAACAGAGGTCTAGAGAGGGGGGTCATGATCAAATATTTTACGACCTCGCCGCTTTGCCAATCCACCCCTGCCGACAATTCGTGACCAATCGTGCGACGAAAGGGGCAACAGGTCTCATACAACAGCCTCGTCGATTTTTGCATCACGCCCTTCTGTGCTCGCCGGCGCCTTTGTACTCCAGGATTGGGACAGGGACAGGTTCTCTTAACAATGTATGTACAGACGGCAGTCATTTTGCCCTCTATACGGCGGGTATGTGCCAGGTCGATTCACCTACCCTATGTAGCGAGCACCCGCCCCATAAGAGGGCACCCGCCCTAATCCAATAGTAGTCTACGCAGCAAAATTGACTTGAGCAAACATATGTTTAAAAGTATTCAATCCGTCCTTTGGGGTTAGGGTTGGGGCTAGGGATACGGTCTGCGTGCCCCCCTCCTTATTATTTTTCTATATACGCTTAAAATCCTGCGTAGGCGGTCCTAAATCAAAGAACAATCCGACTTCATTGTTCCACCCTTTCCAAGACGTTCCATACGCCCTTTACAGTCCCCCCTGCAGAGGGGCCGTGCCTTTACTCAAGACCGTGCTTACCCATACTGCACGCAGTCTCCAAAGGCCACTCCGGTGATGTAGTTTCCCCCCATACGAAGCCCCGGGGCGGCCTTGAGTCCCTCTTGCAGCTCCTCCAGGATGGCCAGGTGGCCCCTCTGGTACCTGCGGTCGGTGTTCGCAGCACATGTCAGAGCAGCGAGCGGTGAAGAGCGGTGAAGAGTATGACGGCACGATTCTAGGGGATGGGGCAGTTTGTTGTCGTGTGACTGCAACGGCGACAACAGCAGCAGCGGTACTCAAAAAAACAACAACAGCAGACCTTAAGACCCACCAGCAACACAACAGCAGCATCAACAACAGCAACAACAAATACATCAGCAACAGCAACAACAACATCATCACCAACAACAACAACAACATTAACAGCAGCAACGACGCCCAGCCGGAAAGCGGACGCTTATTTCGAGGGGGGGGGGGGGGGGGGATCTACAGATAGGACCGGGCGAATGTGGTGCGCGCTTGGGGTAGCGGTTTTCGGTGATCAGCCGCAGCCAGGCACTTCCAACCGAAACAATGGTGTTTGCATTGCACCGCACTACCATTGTCGTCGCTGACATCGTATTCTCTATTCCAAAAAAAAAAACAAAGCACCCTGTGTATAACATGGACGCGTATTTGCAAGGAGGTTGACGAAACAACATCTACCCGAAACCTAAAAGTAGCAATGAAAACAAAGCATACTCCCCCCTCTTTATGTTCATCCATCCGAAAAATAAATACCAGTAGAACTTCGGAGCACGGAAATGTTGGAGTTCAACGATGAAAATGAAGAGAAAAATACTCTATAGGTCGTGAGACGAGCAGACCAGCTCACTGTCGTGTGGGATGACATTTCCCACACCACAAAGCAGCAGCGATATATATGGCGCCTCCACAACAACAGAGCATGGTGTGCATCATGCCTTCAATCTTGCAAAACACGCCAAAAAAACTAATCTCTAAATATCTCAATCGACGTAGCAAAGAATAGTTTTGTCGGAATTTTCGCCGTAAAGACTTACGAGAAAAAAAGGCCACTACTTCACAATAACGCGGAATGGAAAAACCGTTACACATGGTATGGACCATTTTACTGGTGTGGGAGGGCTAAGGTTCAAGACTCACTGCGGGATGGCGGTTTTCCACAAGCGGCAGCCGAGAACCTTCGGGGGAGGCGCATCGTCCTTGAGAAGGATTGTGCGGATGTCCCTGTCGCACTCCGCCACGATCTCATCGTCCGAAAGGTCCTGTTACAAAAGAAGAATACAAGACCGAACGGGTAGTCTTTCTGTGAGGTTATGTTTACCTTCTAAAAACGACCATGGTTGGCGAAAAAAGAAGGATAAACAACGTAAATAGAGATATTCATCGTACAAGAACGACGGGTTGCACCAACAATCACTAGGCCACGATATTGAGTCCCCAAAACTGAAAGATAAAAATACCCAAACAAAAACAAAACTGGGACCGGTTGTATAATTCCACGAATTGTGCGGCTATCGGTTACTGTATATCGCAACGGGGTCGTTGCTGTAACTCGGTACTGTATCTCGTCCGCAAGGTCTTAATTATTTCTAGGATAAAAGTTGATGGACAAAGGGAAACAAACGAGAGAGATACATGAGATATTAGTTACAGAAGAACACTGGGATGCGCCAACAATCAATCCGCCACGGTATGTATCACGCCCGAAAGGGCATTTCAAGGAAAAAGTAACGGTTGAAAACGCACATGCCTTGACATAAAAAAAAAAACACGCACAACACAGTCGCAGAAACATATCGGTAGGCACCAACCAATCACAATCACGCCGCTCAAGTGGGAGGGAACAAACACGAAACCATCCAACCCAACATACACACAACCACCCAACACGTCGCCTGTACAAGCAGTGTTGGTTTGTGTCTCACACATCTATCTTGTCGTCCGAACGAACGGTCTTGGGAAAGGACCACGAATAACGAAAAACTTCAAGGCATTTTGTATGGCATATCGTTGGCCCTGATGGACGGGTCCGCAGTCGCCCCCGCTTTAAGAATACTAGTCTAATGGTTTGTATATTTTTTTTAGTGTCCATAAAGGGGGAAAGTGTCCGTACAATAATATGCCTCCCTTATCGAAAGTTAGGTGTGTTGTTGTAGACTGGCTCCACAATAGTAAGGTTAACATTCAGGGCACCATGGTTCTGAAATAAACATCACCTGTAAGCGGGGGTTATCCTTTACTTACAGTAGCGGTTCTAAAGCGGGAGCGACTACTGTATTCAGGGGGTGGCACCTTCGACGAAATGATTCTATTGTTTGTCCGCTTTGTGGCACGACACCACTAGGCCGCTGTCTCGACGCGTAACATCGACAGAAATGGTTGTATCCACGACGGGAATAAAACACAGTCGCCCCTCAGTAGAGGACACACATGGTTTATACACGTGTCCTCTAAACCGGAGAAGTGTTCTTCAGGTTGATACCCCTCCTCACGTTGTATACTCTGCGAGCCACCATGCCTGTGAAAAAAGGTTGTTCTTAACCGCGGGGAGTGTCCTTTAAAATGGTGCACACAACCGAGAGATAACGAGATAACTGCGTACCTTGATCGCGGGGTCTTGGGCACCCCCGATGTAGTTGAGCAGCATGGCGTAGCCCTCTGGGGCTCTCCCTGGGAATAGCGACGATGACCAGATCGTGCCCAAGGTCCTAACAAAAAAATGACGGTTACAGCAATAGATATGACAGTTACATCAGTAGATATGACAGTCGCAGCAGCGAATATGACGGTGACTGCAGTTGGCGTTCGGGACAAAACGCCCAGCGGAAAACCGCACGAGCGGTGAACAATCCAGGGCGGAAAGCGGGCATTTTTTTTTCATTGAGCACGACAAGAATAGTGCCTGATGGTGTAAAATACCGTATACGACACAAGATAACACACCCCCTGGATCAATTTTCAAACCTCGATTACTCCATGACGAAGAGGATGCATAAACGAAACGATGCGTTTTCGGAGAGCTCTCGACCAGACGGGCACCGTGACACTTTCTGCTGTTGATAAATCGAGCTTTGAAAATCAGTCCAATGGGTGTGTTATCTTGTGTCGTATGCGGTAGGTGTAACTCCCAGTGGGTTACTGCTGTGACTGGGATGGTTGAGCCACTTTGCGATCTTTGTCGAAGGTTTTGAAGGCTCGAAGTGGACTACGTCGACAACGACAACAGCTGAACAACCGCGGCATCACCACCAGCACCAGTACCAGCAACAAGAATCACGACGTTCAAACAACAAACAACAACGACGACGACAACAACAACCACCACAACAAACGACGTCAACCACCCACAACAACAGCAACGATGCCAGCACCAGCACTAGCACCCAGCACTAGCAACAGCAACACCAGCTACACGAATCACAATGTCCTCCAAACAACAGCGAAAACAACGACGTCAACAACGTCAACATCAAACAACGTCACACCCACACCCACAACAACAACAACAACAGCACCGGTGCCAGCACCAGCACTAGCACCCAGCACTAGCAACAGCAACACCAGCTACAAGAATCACAATGTCCTCCAAACAACAGCGAAAACAACATCAAACAACGTCACACCCACAGCAACAACAACAACAGCACCGGTGCCAGCACCAACACTAGCACCAGCCCCAAAAATGACAACATGACAACGTCAAAAACAATACGAGAATTGGCACAAACACCACCACCACCAGCAACAAAAATGACAACAATATGAGGACATTGTCGATGACGGCGACGTCGGATCCAAAAGACAAGAGCCAAGCTACAGACCTGATCTTCATCTTCCTCGGGATGAGGTTGCCGAACCCGGTGAGGTCGACCTTGAAGGACGACTTGGGGTACGCCAGGGTTACGCTCGCCACGGGGGGGTAGTACACCTCGTCCAATCGCGCCGCTTCCGGCACAATATCCTGAGTTTTAAGACAAAAACAAAAAAATGAAGTATACAACACCAAAGGATGGAGGGAGGGGGGGGGGGTAGTAATGAAAACGCATGCCTTAGTCGTTAGACCATTGACCCCGCATCTCTACAATGCCGGGAAGGATCCATATGCACTAGGTGGCCCGATATATCCCGAGTTTAAAACAATAGCAGCAATGAACAACACAAGTCGGCAGTGACAACAAATCACCAAATTAATACAGTAAACAATCGGCAAGTCGCAATCACATTTGCTGGCACACTAACATAAAACCCCGACAAATCAGAATCACAAAGAGTACACAACTATACATGATCGACATATCGGAACCGCAAAAAACACAGCAGTTACAATCATCCACGATCGACAAATCGGATTCCCAAACACATACTGTACACCCGTTGTAAACAAATATCGACAAATCAGAACCACAGCACCACAAATGCTGTCATCATACAACTAAAATATTCGACAAATCGGAACCTTAATCGTCCCTTCTCACCCGCAGTCCCTCGACGGAGGCCAGCCTGTGGGCCGGCGCGGTGCAAACGGCAACCTTAGCCTGGAGGCGTTTGGGCCCCTTGGGGGTGTCGAAGGCGAGGAGGTAGCCGCCGTCCTCTGACCGCTTGATGCCCTTCATCACCCACGACGTCCGCATCTGGTTCACAGAAAGGGTGGGAGAGGGGTGTGTGATCTGTCCGCAGAATTCTGATTGAGGGCAACAATCACAGCGACAACTGTCACCACAAACAACGACAGCACCAACACCAACACCTACACCAACGACAAAAATAATTATCACTACCACCACCACCACCATGATCACCACCAACACCTTGATCACCACCACCACCACCACCACCACCAACAGCAACAGCAACAGCAACAGCAACAGCAACACCACTAACATAATAAAAACAAACCAAAAGAGAAAGGGGTGCAGGCTTAAGAGACAACCATCACCATTACCACCAACTTGTGCACCTTGTCTTTCCCCATGGCCTTAAGAGCAGCGTTGGGGAGCATCTGCAGCCCCTCGCGGAAAGAGCCCAGGCTGCCTCCCTGGTACGTGGGAAGGTCCTCCGATTGCAGCGGCTCCGGGAGCTCCTTCTCCTGCCGTGCACGCTCCTAACACCCAGGGGGGTAAGTTTTAAACACATCAAAACATCAAGGATGCCAGATATGAAAGGCAAACAAGACAAGGAAAAGTGAGAGCGGAAATCACGAAAAAATGGTGGTGGTGGTGGTGGTGTTGGCCAGACATGAAAGACAAACAATTGCAAGGAAAAGCGAGAGTGGAAATCGCGAAAAATTGGTGGTGGTGGTGGTGGTGGTGGCTAGAGTGAACGACAAACAATTCGATAGGAAAAGTGAGAGAGGAAAACACGAGAGGACAGCGCGAAGGGGGGGGTAGAGAAAAATTTCAGAACAAATGGCGGGGGGTTCCGTAGTATCTCTCGAGTTTGACACCCCAATGTCCTGTTCCACGCGTTCTTGGCAACGAAAATATAAGTGAGAGCGGAAAACACGAAAAAACAGCGCTAGGGGGTGGGTAAAAGCAAATTTCAAGAGAAAAAACTGCGTGTGGGTTCCGTAGTACCTCTCGCGCTTGAAACCCCTACATATGTCGTGCTTCACGCGTTCATGGCAACGAAATATATGTGAGAGTGGAAAACACGAATAAACAGGGCTAGGGCGGGGTAGAGAAAACAGCACAAGAAAAAGCTGCGTGTGGGTTCCGTAGTACCTCTCGAGTTTGAAACCCCTACATATGTCCTGCTTCACGCGTTCATGGCAACGAAAAAATATGATACGGCATGTCTTCTGCGATGACGGAAAATAATCTCTACGACGACTGGTCAGGTACGAGAGACGGAAGCCCTAAGGAGAAGGGGAAGGTCAGGACGTTTCTTATCCAACGCAGAGGGAATACCGCGAACGTAACACGGCATGACAAATGCCGCACTGAACCGATGTGCATCCGCGTCTTCGATGACCGGCTGAACGATAACACGATTGTTTTGAGGGGGATTAAGAGCACCGCCCCGCCTAGTCCGGCATGGACCCTTCCCCGGGGAGTGTGCGGCATGGAGAAAACGAAACGGGTTCAGCTCTTGGACTCAGAGCGCAAGGAAGACAAACGACGAAAAATCACGTCCATTCTGGTTACAAAAAAAACATTCTGGTTACAAAAAGGTACTCTAACGCGCTTCAATACTCGTCCACACGACCGACACCTCTTTTACTCACTGAGTGCTACAGGGAGCTATCCATCTCCTGACTTGTCTGCAGCATTTTTTGCATGGTGGCGCCCGTCTGCTAGAATATACTGGGGTCGACCTCTCTCTTCTGGATCTCTCTCTCTCTCTCTCTCTCTCACTCTCTCTCTCTCCTTCTCCCTTCGCCTCACCCGGCTCTCCCTGGTTCTCTTTTCCCGACAATCTTTTTCTCCCCATGCTCAGCTTCAGACCTCTGTCTTCAGTACCTCTGCCTCCAATATGCATGGACTAAGTTCCTGCCGACTGACCTTAAGCCTGAGAATAGCACCGTCGATCAAGCCCGGACCGCCCAACACTTCCAACCGAGCGACCTGGACAACAATTGCGGAGCAGCAAAGATCGAAGGCAGAGTACCACAGGAAGGGTGGGGTGAACTCTTCTGTGTAGCCACGTGTTGGAGTAAACGACACACGTGCGGTGAGCGCTGATATAAAGTGAAGACAAACAAAAAAAATAGAGCAAGAGCGGCTGAGGGTAAGAAGCGTGCTTGCGAAGCACAGCATGAATTGATCTCCGGAACCACCTGACGAAAACAGCAGTGCCTGCGTTTTCGGAGGAAAATCGAAATTACTGCCACGGCTGTTGCCGAAAAGAGTACAAGCATGTTTGGAGGAGAACCCAGCACACGAGAGCATAGTTGCTTTTGTTGCCGTTGCCGTTTCTGTCACAGCTGTTGTTGTTGTTGTCGGGGATTGTCGTTGTTGTCCTCGTGACAAACCAATCATCATCCTTGTCCTAAAGTTCATTCATCCATGTTCGCATTCCCGCGTGAATCAATCCTACGCTTTGAAGTAGTTCATCCTTATCCTTGTGCTTTTCCTTATCCCTATCACGCGTGGATAACCCCCAATTGTATACTCATTCTCATGTTTGTCTTTGTATCGATCGTTATCTTCATCCCTCTCCGGCGTGGATCAATCCCACCTATTGGAAGCGGTTTACCCTTGTCCTCGTCCATATCCCCGTCCCGACTGGATCAACCCCAACTCTTTGAGCGGTTTATCCGTGTCCGTTTCATGTATCCTTATCCTTGTCCATATCCCCCGTGGATAAATCCCACGTGAAAGCGGGTTAACGTTATACTCAATCGTATCCTTATCCCCGTCCCGCGTGGATAAATCCAACCCTTGAAATCGGTTTAACCTTACGCTCGCCCTTACCCCTACGCCACGTGGACCGTCCCCACCTTCTTAAGGGCGGCCTTGATGGCCAGCTTGGACGGGTCACCCGCGTAAACCCCGCTCACGAAGGGGTCGATGAGCCTTTCGAACGCCTCTGGCCCCAGGTGCCTAGTAACGAACTCTTTTACGCTCTCCTCGTAGTCCGAAGGGGGGGGCAGCACCAGCCCGATGGCACCCAGCCCGGCCCTGCGGTTTTTTCATCACAGGGGTCATGGTAATGGATATATGGAAATGGTTACACGGTGTATGGTTGTATGAAACTGTGATGAATATGGTTATATGCTGTATTTCGTGGTCCGAAGGGGGGGCAGCACCAGTCCGACGGCACCCAGCCCGGCCCTTCGGATATTTCCATCACACGGGCCATGGTAATGGATATATGGCAATGGTAAAACGGTTATATAGAACTGTGATGAACATGGTGATGTGCTGTATTTCGTGGTCCGAAGGGAGACGCAGCACCAGCCCGACCCTACGGTTATTTCCGTCATACGGGCCATGGTAATGGATACATGGCAATGGTAAAACGGTTATATAGAACTGTGATGAATATGGTGAGGTTATATAGAACTGTGATGAATATGGTGATATATTTCGTGGTACGAAGCGGGAGGCAGCACCAGCCCAATAGAACGCAGCCTGGCCCTGCGTTTTTTTCCATCACACGGGTCATGGTAATGGATATATGGTAATGGTTACACGGTTTATGGTCGTATGGAACTGTGATGAATATGGTGATATATTTCGTGGTACGAAGGGGGAGGCAGCACCAGTCCGATAGCACCCAGCCCGGCCCTGTGGTTTCTTCCATCACACGGGCCACAAAAACCCCACGGTTTGGTGAGGCAAGACACAAGAGATGTGCCGCTTCTACGCAGTCTGTACTCATGCCATCGACGATGTGTTTCCGGGAAACTGCAGGCGGCCCGCCGGGTCAGCTGGGCCAAGGCACTCAGCAGAGATCGGAACGGCTTTCACTATGGGGGCAACCACAACAACATAACCGTACCGTAGACCAGAACGGTTCTTTGATGTGAAGACAACACCACCAAATGCATTACCTTTGAATAGACCGGAACGGTTCTTCAACGTGAGACAACAACGGCAACGACCACCACCACAACAACGACATTACCTTTGCATAGATCGGAAAGCTTCTTGCATGTGAAGACAACAATGCCACCACCACAACAACGACGTTACCTTTGCATAGATCGGAAAGCTTCTTGCATGTGAAGGTGAAGACAACAATGCCACCACCACAACTGGAACAACAACGACAAAACAGTGACAACATTACCGTTGCGTGGACCGGGACGGTTCTCAAACGTCAAGACAACACCAACAACGACAACAAGAACGAAAACAAAAAATAAACGCACTTCTGTACACTACCTGATCTTTCCGGGCCATGAAAGCAACCAAAAGTCCGTAATGATCGACTGCAGGGAAGAGGGAAGGGGGAACAGGCCTCCCTCCCAGAACACGAAGCGGGGCAGGGTGGGGTCCGCCAGAACGAGGTCCTCCTGTGTCGCAACGAAAAAAAACACAGGCCGGCATGTACACGTTACAGTTCAGTATGTTGTAGGCTTGAGCAGACTCAAAATAAAAGCCCATTGCCCAGTAGATATTTTCTCAACGCCTGCTCCAAAGTCTCCCACACAATGCGTACGCTTTAAACAGACGTAAATTAAGCCGCAGTTTTTCTCAACACTCCGTATTTGTTAAGACTTGTGGCAGGATCTCGAGCGAGCATCGTCTTTCGGCGATGGTACGTACAGTATATGTTCCAAAAACCCGGATCACATCAGACACGAGCAAACAGACCGGCTCAATCGATGTACCCAACTGACCGACGGGTCATCGGACAAATCGACCGGTGCTTCAACAAACATTGTTCCTCTTAAACAGCGGTTAGTACCTGCTGAATAACTCCGCAGCCAAGAAATTCACGCTCAACATTACATCAAACATAAGAACCTGAAGCGCCATTGTCAGCCCACAAGAGGAAACAACAGCTCCAGCATCGACCAAACTAGAGGTTCAGAAGGGGCGGGCACGACGCTGATACTGACAAAAAAATGTAACTTTCAATTGATCGATCTTTAGTTACCTTGAGGCCCAGGTCGACCGTGGTCCGCATGATGTAGGGTGTCGGCTGGAACGAGTTGGGGCCCTCTTCCCACAGGAATCTGGCAAATTTATCAGCACACCGCGAAAAAAAGA